AGCCGCACCCCCAACCGTACCCCACACTCCCCCAGGCACAGACCCCAGCCACCGACCCCCCCTGCCCAGCTAGACACCCCCCTGGTACCGACCCCCCCAGCACAGACACGGGCCCCCCCCACCCAGCACTCACAGGTTCTGCCCGTGCCCCCCCCCGGCACTCACAGGTTCTCCCCGGGGTTGACGTACACCTGGCAGGGCAGCGACCGGGTCAGTTTGGTGCTGGACTCCACTGAGGCCGGTTTGGGCTTCTGCAGATATTGGGGGGAAGGGGGGGGTCAGAGGGGCCGGGTCACGGCTCCCCCACACCCCCCCCAGGGGCGGGCTCTCACCTCCTGCCACTCCAGCACGCCGTTCCAGGCCAGCACCTTGTTGGTGACCGACTGCTGGGGCCCGGGCAGCTGGGGGGCCGCCGGGGGGGTCACGCTCACGCCGCTGGGGGCCACGCTGCTAGGCTGGGGGAGGGAGAGCACGGTCAGACCCAGCCCAGGTGCCCCCCGAACCAGCCTGTGCCCCATTCCCTGCCCCCCAGAGCCAGCCAGCCCCCCCCCCAGAGCCAGCACCCCTAAGAGGGGAAAGGCCCCAGGCCCCATCCCCAGAGCCAGCCAGCGCCCCCTAGAGGGGAAAGGCCCTGCACCCCATTCCCCACCCCCCTGAGCCAGCCAGTCCCTGCCCTGGGGCTGGATGGGAGCCGGCGCCCCCCGAGGGGACAGGCCGTGACGCTGTATGGAATATGACTGACCGTTGATAATATTGTGACTATTGATGTGAGAAGAGCGCAGAGAGTCACTCTAGATATGCCCTGGTACATCAGTGGGAAAGGGCTGAGCGGCTAAATACGATCCGCTCCACTGCACAGACTTCTGCCACGTGAGCTAATGGAGTAAGTGATGGCAGAGGCAGTAGGTTGTCATCCTATATGTGATAGATCAGCTCTATAGGGGGATGAGACACTTTTTTTGCCACTGGGTTTCACAGATATCTGCTGACAGAAGAGGAACTGTCTCCTGGGCCCCTCCCCTGCAAGGTGCCGACAAAAGGTGTTGGAGAACAAAGAGATCAGGTGACCTCCTGGCCCGGGAAAGAGACAAAGGCCAGAGGAGGGGCTGGAGGGGGTGTCAGTTTGGAGCTGGCTGGGGAGACAGGGGGAGGCCCAGAACCGGGGTCTGGGCTCCCCACGCCCCAAGATGGGCCTGAGTGAGGGGTGCTCCTGGTTTCTGTACCCACAAGCTCTGGTTTGGGTTGTTCCTGTCGGCTAATAAACCGTCTGTGTGACCGGCCGGCGGAGAGTCCCGCTGCATCGCAGGAAGTGGGGGTGCAGTTCCAGGTGGCACCCCGGGGGGGACCCATCACAGTCAGATCCAAACTAGCAGTGACCTGGTAACGTGGCTGGCGAGCAGAGTTCACAGAGGCCCCGCGGGGCTGCACGTACCATGGCTGGGGCCCCAGGCTGCGGGGGGGGCTGGCCGGGCGGCTGGGTCAGCAGACTGGGGTTGGTGGTGACGGTGGAGACCAGGCTGGGTTGGGAGGAGGGCGGCAGCTTGGGGGCCATGGCTGGGACAGAGCCGGTGGGGAGCGGCTGCGCGGGTGCCTGGCTGAAGGGCGTCGGCAAGGCGTTCAGCGGGGTGACTGTGAGGGGGAGGGGGAAAGCAGTCAGGATCCCACCCCTCCCACCAGGCCCTCCCGAGACCCCTCCCCT